AGAAGCCCAACCTTTCAGATTTTCCTGAATGCTCTAAACATTTATTTACCAAGGAAACAATATCACATTGATTACAGAGTTGATTAATATTTTGATAATAAATGGTACATACTATCAATATCATAGATGCTATTTTTTACCTGTCACTCGGCTCAAACTCTGGTCTTGGATGGGCACTGTCCTTGAGATCCTTTTTGTTCAAGGCTAGCACTCTACCACTTAAGCCACAGCACCATTTTCTGTGATTAACTGGAGATAAAAACCTCTTGGATTTCCATGTCTGGAGTAGCTTCGAACTGTGATCCTCAGATCTCAGTCTCTGAGTAGCTAAGATTACAGGCATGAGCCACCAGCATCTGGCTATTTGATGATGTAGTTTTCACTTTTTTAATAGGAGCCATATTGGTTTCCTATATTGCTCTTACCAATTACTACAAATGTCATGATTTAGAACAGTTCAAACAGTTTTGTAAGTCAATATTCAATACCAGTACATAGTGCTGTGTACCTTTTGGAGGCTCCAGAGATTTGATTTCTTGAGCATTCCAGCTTCCAGAGGTTATCTACATCCTTTGGCTTCTGACCCTTTCATTCATCTTCAAACTCAACATCATAGTATCTCTCCTTTCTGACCTCTGCTTCTCTGTTGTAAACTCTTGAGATTTTATTAGGCTAGAATAATCACTGCAGCAGAATCTTTTCATCTCAAAATCCGTTTTAATTAAAATTCATTTTTACCAAGTAAATATGAACACTAGTTCTGGATATTGGGACATGGAAATCTTTGAGGATCATTCTGTCTACCACAGGATCCTATCTTTTTTTTTTTTTTTGGTAGATTCTGACAGTATCCCTTGTTTTTTTTAATATTTAATGTTCTTAAAACTGGTTTCGTTTCTAAATTTAAAAACATGCTTTTCTTAGGCTGGAAAGGTGGCTCAGTGGTAGTGCTTGCCTTGCATGCATGAGACCCTGGGTTCGATTCCTCAGCACCACATAAGCAGAAAAAGCCTGAAGTGCTGTGGCTCAAGTGGCAGAGTGCTAGCTGTGAGCTGAAGAGCTGAGGGACAGCACCCAGACCCAGAGTTCAGGCCCACGACCGACCAAAAAAAAAAAAAATCCTTTTCTTATTATAGTTAAGGGATATTAGATTTCCTTCTCAGTGGAACAGGAAATAAATCAGAAATTTTAGATGTCTTTTTCAGGACAGTTAACTAAGTTATTGCTTTGGAATAAATACTTGTATCATCTTTGTCATTGGAATTTGTATAACTGGTGCTAGTTAACTGCTGGGGTCTGACTTTACTTTTTACTTTTTCAAAAGGTCACAAATGCTGATGGTGCTTGACTTTTTCTTTTGCCAGTCCTAGAGCTTGAACTCAGGGCCTGAGAGCTTCTTTTGCTGAAGGCTAGCACTCTATACCACTTGAGCCACAACACCACTTCTGGCTTTTTCTGTGTATGTGTACACTGAGGAATTGAACCCAGGGCTTCATGCATGCTAGGCAAGCACTCTACCACTGAGCCACATTCCCAGCCTGGTGCTTGTTATTTACAATATAGTTTCAACCGATTCAGACTATTTGGCCTGCAGATATTAGTTTTTGTGCTTTATGCAGACTGAAAGTAATACAAATATATACCTTAAGAATGAAGACAGAGGCTGGGAAGGTAGCTCAGTGGTAGACTGCTTGCCTTGCATGCATGAGGCCCTGGGTTCGATTCCTCAGCACCACATAAGCAAAAAGAAGAAAAAAGCCGGAAGTGGCGCTGTGGTTCAAGTGGTAGAGTGCTAGCCTTGAGCTGAAGAGCTGAGGGACAGCGCCCAGGCCCAGAGTTCAGGTCCCACAACCGGACCAAAAAAAAAAAAAAAAGAATGAAGACATACTTAACAAAAAGCTTACAAAATATCTTTCTATGCTTCTTTTATATAAATGCAATCTTAGTTAAATTATAAATTTAGCTATCATGGTAATATTCACTATTCTTCATTAAGCCAGTATTTTACATTGTCTTTATATATATTAACTTCTTTCTTATAAGCATCACAGTCTTTCACAAAGAGAACTCATTTTATGTACTGATTTTTATTATAAGTGATAACAATTTGTAAAATGGGAGCTGTTTAAGTTTACTCTTTTTCTCTTAAGGAGAGCCTTTTCCATTATAAAAATCATCCCAGCTTCCTGGCAACAACGTGATGTTACAGATACTTATTTATTTTATTTTTTTGTTTTTATTCTCCCCAAGGGGTTAGAATTAACTGTCCTTTGATAGTTTCTACTTCTTGTTCATTTTTGATATAGGTCAATATTAGCAACCAAAATTTATGTGCTGCAATGCTTTCTGGTGCTGAGTGAGGGAAGAGGGACGGGTAAGGAATGTTCTAAGAGTGTATATATGTCATCCAGGAATGGCCCCCAGCCCTTGTCCACTCCTTCTGCACTGGAAATGGGCATATTCTAAGGATAGCATAGTCTCATCAGATCCCTACAGGGGCTACAGTGGGAGGCTGACAGTCCATAGTTCTTTTCATAGCAGGCTGTCTATGTCCTTGGCTGCTACTCTGGGCTTTCAGTTTTGCAGAAAAGTATGTATTTTTCTTTAGGCTAATGTAAGAGAAAATTGCTGGATATAGATCATTAGTAGTATTTTTTCTTCTTTTTTTTTTTTTAGTACTATTTTTTCTTATCTCACTTTTGGTCTTAATCCTTTAAACCTAACAGGAATTCATTAATTAGGATTCATCATGTCTGCCCACAATTGTGTATGTGTATGTGAATGCACTTGAGTGTGCACGCGCACACGTGTGTGTGTGTGCATGTGCGTGTGCGTGTGTGCGTGTGTGTGTGTGTGTTGGGGATAAGACTTAAAGGCTTTGTGCATGGGAGACAAGCATTCTACTGCTGATGAATTGAGCTACACAATTTGCCTAAATTTGTTGACTTCTTTTTTCTTCTTCATGCATTTTTTATTGTGATTATGAAGATGACATACATTCAGGGTTGCAGTTATATATGTCAGATGAAGTGTAAAAGTGTACATTTCTTGTTGGACTATGTTATCCTTCCCTTTGCTCTCTCTGTTTTTCCTTCCCTTTCCCATCCACAAGTTGTCTAGTGCATTAAAATTTTTTTCTTTATTGAGATTAAGTGTTTACATAAAATTGACCCTATTGTGGGATAGTGATACTTAGCTAAAGTCACACATTTTAACCTTCAGAAGGTGAATTGTCATTATCATGGTCTATAAAGTTGTGAACTTTATAAACATTGACAATACAACTATTTCTTCCAGATAGGATATGTACATTTCTTTTCCTTTTGCTTAGTGTAAGCTGTTCCCTCTTTCTCTCATTCCCTCCCTCCCATCGCTGCCCTTGAGTTGTTTAGTTCACTTTCATCAATGTCCAGTGCAGCTGATAGACCCCTTGCGTTTATTTTTTCACCTGTTTCCCTCCGATTCTGTGCCCTCCATAACTTCCCTCCTATGTGCACAGTATATATCATATGTGGGGTCAAGAACATAGTCATCTAAAAACAATATGACAGATTAAGAAACTAGGAAGAGTTCCTTTGTTCTTGTTTACTTTGTCATATCTCTTTGTGTTTTTGTGCATTTTTAACAGTGTTTAGTATCACTGCTACATTTGTTCACCCTTTGTCCCACCATTTCTGTGCGCCCTCTCTTATTCCTCCCACAGACAGATAAACAATCAAGACAAAAGGAAAAGAAAACAAAACCAGCAAAGAGAAAAATCCCTTTCCTGGAGTTCATTTTGATAAATATTATTTTATATAATCAGGAGCATATAGATATTGCACCTTTGTGTTTCTGTCCTAAGAATATCCTCCTTTGGTCTCACTGAGTGAGTGCCTAGAGACCTGTATAAATGATCATGTCTTAGTGTATTTTTTTTGCATCCAATGTACCATTTGTAAGAAAATGAAAAGTCTTGGAAAAAATTACATTAGGCTAAGTAAGCCAGACCCAGAAAAACATAGGTTGATTTCTTTTTTCTTTTTTCTTTTTTTTTTTTTTTTTTGCCAGTCTAGGGCCTGGGCGCTGTCCTTGAACTTTCCAGCTCAAAGCTAGCGCTCTCCACTTGAGGCACAACCCTGCCTGCTTCAGATTTTTCTGATTATGTAGTGCTGAGGAACCGAACCCAGGGCCTCATGCATGAAAGCCAAGCACTCTACCACTGAACCACCTTCCCAGCCCCTGTTAATTTCTATCTCCATAAAAAATATAACGTCAAGCCAGACACTGGTGGCTCATGCCTGTAATACAGCCTACTCTGGCACCTGAGATTTAAGAATTTCGGTTTGAAGCCAGCCAGCAGGCAATAAAGTCCCATGAGACTCTTGCCTCCTATTAATCAGCAAAAAGCTAGAAGTTGATATGAGGCTCAAGTGGTAGAGTGCCTTGAGCAAGAAATCTCAGGGACTGTGCCCCGAGGCCCTGAGTTCAAGCCCCAGGACCATTGCCATTATGAATATATCATTCATAGATAGTTAGATCGATTGGTAGATATAAAAATCACACTGATCATAGTAGCCACTGGGTCAGATGTGGGTGGAACATCTGTGTTCATGTATCAGTTATGTTTAATAACCAGCTTGAATATTTATTATGTTGATAGGTATTTATAACAGTGCAAATTCTAATTCATTAGAATTTTTATTTTTGAAAATCTTGAATTAAGGAAGGAATTATTAGCCGGGTGCCGGTGGCTCACGCCTGTAATCCTATCTACTCAGGAGGCTGAGATCTGAGAATCACGTTTCAAAGCTAGCCCGGCAGGAAGATACAGGAAAGTCTGTGAGACTCATTTCCAATAAACCACTCAGAAAACCAGAAGTGGCACTGTGGCTCAAGTAGTAGAGCACTTGCCTTTAGCTGAAGAGCTGAGGGACAGTGTTCAGGCCCAGAGTTCAAGCCCCATGACTGTCAAAAAAAAAAAAGATTTATTAAACATGCTTTTCCTTGTTTTTCTGTAGTGTGTTGTCTGGCATGACAGATGCAGTATTGGCTCGAGTGTATAAACAATCAGATCTGGACACTCTGGCTAAAGAAGCATCCATTCCAATTGTCAATGGACTGTCAGACCTGTATCATCCTATCCAGATCCTGGCTGATTACCTTACACTCCAGGTTAGTATTTTTCTTGCTTAACAAAAGAACAAAATTCTTAATTCCTAACATTTAATCAGGAACAAATTAGTGAAACCATTTACTTAAATAATGGTATTTAATCATTACAATTTATCTCCATCTGCCTTAAAAATTATAGTATATAAGTGCATACTATATATGTGCATCTAAGGGAAACAAGGCACTTTAAAAAAAACTAACTTTAAGGCTGGGAAGGTGGCTCAGTTGTAGAGTACTAGCCTCCAATGCATAAGTCCTTGGGTTCGATTCCTCAGCACCACATAAACAGAAAAAACTGGAAATGGTACTGTGGCTCAAGTGTTAGAGTGCTAGCCTTGAGCTGAAGAGCTGAGGGACAGCGCCCAGGCCAGAGTTCAAGCCCCAAAACCAACCAAAAAAAAAAAAGTGGATAAAGGAATAAATTAAAAAAAGAAAAAGCTAACTTTAAGATGCTTCTGTTCTCAACCCCGTTTCCAAACCACTTGCCAACTCTTACATCTTCTGTTCTTTCAATGCCTGCTTTTTTTTTTTTTTTTTTTTTTGGTTTTTATCGGTCGTGGGGCTTGGACTCTGGGCCTGGGCACTGTCCCTGAACTCTTCTGCTCAAGGTGAGCGCTCTACCACTTGACCCACAGCACCAGTTCTCAATTACTGCTTTTTATTTTTTTTTTGGTGCCTTTTTTTTTGTTTTTTTTGGGTCCGGTCGTGAGGCCTGGGTGCTGTCCCTCAGCTCTTCAGCTCAAGGCTAGCACTCTACCACTTGAGCCATAGCGCCACTTCCGGCTTTTTTTCCTGCTTATGTGGTGCTGAGGAATCGCACCCAGGGCCTCAAGCATGCATGGCGAGAGCTCTACCACTGAGCCACCTTCCCAGCCCTTTTGGTGCCTTTTTTAACACGACATATCAACAGGGAATGCTAGAGCATATAGCATAGAAAGAGATGTGTGATCCTACATACATCAAAAGTCTATAGTTGGGAGTGAAAACCAGTAGATTTTGTTTTGAATATTCAAAATGACAAATTACTATTTAAGAATTGAAAGAGGGGTCACTTTCTATCATTTCATAAACTGGATTTTTTTTCAGTTGTATGATTTTATTTTCTCCCTTCAACCATAATAATATGGTAATCAAATTTTGTCTTAGCTGGTGGGTCCGTAAATATAGTCTTATCCATCCCATTCACAGGCAAGGCTAATGCTGCTTCTTGAAAGGGTCCCACCATGGACCCTCTGCTCATCCACCCCAAGTCGCCCTCTTGCCTGGCTTTATCTTCACTGTACTGGGTGGTACTTCATTGAATCTCATTCCAGACCTTAACTTTTCCATGGCTTCCATGATTTTGTCATGCTTTTCACACAAAATGTGTCTGACCTTTACTGCATTGCCACCACCTTTGGGGCCCTGAGCTTTCTTATCAGCACTGTCACTTCCAGAAGTTGCACCCCCTTTCCCCGCTTTTCCAGATCCACTTTTTCCTTTAGGCGGCATCTTCTAAACTCGCTGTTGAACTCCCCCATAAACTGGATTTTTAAAAAATTGTGTTAAGCCTGTGTGCTAGTATCTCAGAATATGTAAGATTTGAGAATCAAGTTTTAAAAAGAGCTGGCAGGAATAGCTGAGATTCTCATCTCCAATTAACCAGAACAAGAAGTAGAGGTGTGTCTAAAGTGGTAGAGTGACAGCTTTAAGCAAAAAATCTAATGGAGAGCACCCTGGCCCTGAGTTCAAGCTCTACTATTAACATACATATAAAAAAATAGTGCTGGGGCTGGGAAGGTGGATTAGTGGAAAGTTCTTGCTTCACATGCATGAGGTCCTCAGTTCAATTCCTCACCACCACATAAACAGAAAAATCTGTGTCGCTAGCTCAAGTGGTACAGCACTAATCTTGAGCTGAAGAGTTGAGGGACAGTTCCCAGGCCCAGGGTTCAAGTCCCATGACTGACCAAAAAAAATAGTGTTAAGGCATGCTGAATATACATAGTTAAGACTCTCATTTATCTGTGTCTTCCCAACTGATGAACTTGGTAGCTTTGAAAGAATTATTTGGCTTGGTGTACCACAGCTAATCTACATGGTTTGGGCACTTGACATGATAACCATGATTTGTGTGCCAGTAGATGATTCTGAGGATGGGCTGAGGATGGACTGAGGAGGCCCATTTTCCTCCCCATTGGAGTATGCTACACACATTTAAATGTGAAATGAACTCAAAATGAAGCTGTTCAGAGATACGGACAGGATCCATGCAGAAAAGATGAAACAACAGTGTGAGATACAAAGTTGCTCTCTGTGTCTGTACATAGACACCAAACATTTTATTCTTTCTGTCTGGTGCAATGAACTGTTCATAGAGTTCCCTGCAGGATCTTATGAAATGCCTTTATAAAAGAGATACAAATAATAAGATTTCAGTGAATAAATAGCAGCTAATTAAAGGCATATGATATGCTGGACACCTGTGGCTCACACCTATAATACTATGTTATTAGGTAGCTGAGACCTTTGTTCAAAACCCTTCTGGGGAGTCTATGACTCTTATTTCCAATTAACTACCAAAAAAGTTAGATGTGGAGCTGTGGTTCAAGTTGTAGAGCACTAGCCTTGAACAAAAAAACTGAGGGACAGTGCCCTGGCTCTGAGTTCAAGCCCCACGGCTAGCACGCACAAAAGCATATGTTGTAAACCAGATGGACCCAGATTTAAATCCTAGCTTAGTCATCTAGTAATTCTGTGATCTGCAAATTGCAATTGCATTGCTATTTAAAATTTTACCATAATAAAAATAAATATGGGTATCCATGTGCCTAGTACATAGTTTTATCAAATCCATTTTGGGATTGGTAGGATTGGAACCCAAGACCTCAAGAGTGCTAAGTGAGCTCTCGTGCCACATGAAATCCTAATAACCATGGTTTGAATTACACCTTGGCTAATTTTGTCACATTTTAACATGATGGATAATTACTTCAGAATTATTTATTGCTTGAAAATAAGATGTTACTGATAGAAGTGAAATTCACTGGCTAATGTCACCTGATCCCATTTACTTCCAACACTACAAAGAAGTTTTCCTGATGTTTGCCACTGTAATTCTGAGGCAGGTGCTTATCCTTTATATACAGTATTATTGGGCATATTTCTCAGCCTTTGATAAATGAGAGGATGCTCAGAGACAATGCACTGTTCCAGGTGCATTATATTTCCCATATTTTTTTGTTTTTATTAGGTGGGGATGATATTAAAGAATGACCTTATTTTTATTTTTTGTCGGTTACTGGGCTTGAACTCTGGGCCTGGGTGCTGTCCCTGAGCTCTTTAGCTGAGGGCGAGCTCTCTACCACGTGAGCCACAGTGCCACTTCCATATTTCCCATATTTTATAACAAAAGAAGAAAACTCTAGAATAACAGTAAATTTTGTCTCCTTTGTTCTTTGTTATCTAAGGTTAAGGACCATGTGTGAACATTGAAGATTTTTGTTTGAGTAAATAGAACAGAGATTCAGATTTGAAATGAGTGAAAATCTGAGTCTGCACATAATTATATAATGTATTTGTTTAATTCATTAGGACTTTTTACTATAGTAATCGTACAAGACAATATTAAATTGTTATTAAATTTAGTAACATGTTATTGAATTGTTCTGAACAATGGAAAAAATAGTATTTTATTGATTCCAACCACTTTTATTTTTTGCCCGTCATGGGGCTTGAACTTGGGACGTAGGCATTGTCCCTGAGATTCTATTGCCCAAGGAGAGCACTCTACTGGAACCAGAGTACCACTTCCAGCCTTTTCTGTTTGTGTGTTACTGGAGAATCAAATCCAGGGCTTCATACATGCTAGGCAAGCACTCTACCACCAAGCCACATTTCCAGCCCCAAAAAAGACCGTTTTCCAAAAAATAAAAAAAATAAAAAAGTGAATTTCATCCTCAATTTAATCTTCTTCATCTCTTACCTTTTAGGAACACTACGGCTTTCTCAAAGGTCTTACCCTCAGCTGGATAGGGGATGGAAACAACATCCTTCACTCCATCATGATGAGTGCAGCAAAATTTGGCATGCACCTTCAAGCAGCTACTCCAAAGGTAGGGGAACTTTCTGCCTTGAAAAAAGCCCCACTTAAGTCACATGCAATTACCCAGTGAAAACAAAGCTCAATTCCAGTCAATGGCAATATAGGTGAGGCCCCAAAACTGAGATTATATTACCAGCCCTACAATTCAATAGCTATGTGGCATCTTAAGAGCCCAATTTCCTTACTCTACAATAAGAACTAGTCTTGGCTGAAGCCTTTTATTCTGTGAGTCTGGGTTAAAAAAGCCTGTCTGAATCATCCTTTTGAATGTCCTGTTACGAGCCATTATGATGACTGGCATCCTTGTGCATTACCAGTACACAGGCTGAAGAAAGCAGTGAAATCTAGACTACATAAAACTCATCAATGCATGAGAATGATGGTATCATTTTTTTCCTAATACTGTAATTTGGTAGAATGTCATATCCAATAAGAAGTTCATAGTGATAGCATCTATACCAGCTCAGGGTTTCAAACCTCATCTCTGGAAGTACTTTGCTTTTAAAAGGAAAAATGTATTTTTAAAAGAGATTTGAGCTGGGTGCCAGTGCCTTAGGTCTGTAACCCTAGCTACTCAGGAGGCTGAGATCTGAGGATCCTGGTTCAAAGCCAGCCCAGCTCTGAGAAGTTAAAGCATCCTAAACTGAATATGAGGGATCTACAAGTCTTTCCCTGCTTCTGCTCCTTGAGCTTTAACTACCAAGAGCATAGATGGCACAATGTGGGTTAATATCTGAATTTCTCCAGTAAGAACACTCAAATCCTTGAATTTATCATGCATTTTTCAACCCTTTTCAACCTTCACTAGTATCTTAGACCAGCTTCCCCACAAGCAGACCCCCTAATGGGAATTTGTGTACAGGTGAATTTTCTTCTGACGTGACCATTGGGGGACTAGCGAGGAATAATGAGGTTCCATGCTCCATTTACAGTGACTTTTCCCTAGAACTGGGAGATTTCTGGGGACAAGAATTCTTTTTTCAGTGCGAAAATTATGTGTCCTGAGAGATTTGGTGAGATTTCGTCACCCTTGTTTATATATATGTATATCAGGTCCAGTCCCACCAAAAGTAGCTTTGGCTACTCACCCCTGAATGAGCTATTGAGTGTAAGTTAGGCCTCAAAGGTGTTCTAACCTAGGAGAATTGTGAACTTTTATCCTTATGAACCAGTCTCTAGGGAAGGGCAGCAGGAAAAGTGGGTTTTGAAGTTCCCTGTGTCTTTCCACTAGAAAATCAGTCTGGTAACCAGAAGCTCCTTCTGAAAAAAAGCTGAAAGTGTTAAGTATCAAAAACACACTGGCCAGGCACTGGTGACATGCATCTGTAATCTTAGCTCCTCAGGAAGCTGAGATCTGAGGATCAAAGTTGAAAGCCAGTCTGGGCAGGAAAGTCCATGAGGCTCTTATCTCCAATTATTAACCACAAAAAAGCTAGAAGTAGAGCTGTGGTTCAAACGGTAGAGCACTAGCCTTGAGCACAGAGAGGCTCCAGGACAATGCCCAGGCCCTGAATTCAAGCCCCAGGCTTGGCAAAACAAACTAAAAATCCCCATAAAGTAGGGAAAGGCAAAGAAGCCATTGAAAGTATCCTCTGAAGGAATCCTGATAGCAATTTGTATCGTTGCTTTCTTTTGCCAGGACAAAATGAAGCAATACAATATGCTTTTCTCTAGAGTTATTCCTGATTCGGTTTTGGCCAATGTATTTTGCTTTTATGGTTTCCTAGGGTAGCAATAACAAATTTTACAAACCAAGTTGCTTAAAACAACAGCAATGTACTTTATCATTCTGAGAACAAAAATCTGACATCAAGGTGTTGCCACAGCCACATTCCATTTGTGACTTCCCTTGTGGCTGCATCATTCCAATCTCTACCTTCATTATCTTCCTTCTTTGGCCATGTGTGTCTCTTCATGTCTTCATGTACAAACATTCTTCTCTTTATTTATTTATTTATTTGTTTTTATTTTTATTTATTTTTTGGGTCCAGTCGTGGTTCCTGAACTCTGGGCCTGGGTGCTGTCCCTCAGCTCTTCAGCTAAAGGCTAGCGCTCTACCACTTGAGCCATAGCACCACTTCTGGCTTTTCTCTTTATGCTTATGTGGTGCTGAGGAATCGAACCCAGGACCTCAGGCATGCAAGGCAAGCGCTCTACCACTGAACTACCTTCCCAGCCCCTCCTCTCTTTATTTATAAAGACTAACATATTACATTTAGTCCCACCTTAATTCACTATCATCTTGTTTTAGCTAACTATATCTGCAAAGTAAGATCACATTCAGAGGTTGTGAGTTGGCATACATTTTTTGTTTTGCTTTGTAGTAGCCACACCCTAGCTCTAGGTTGTGAATTTTTTTAGCACAGTGCTCAACCAGAGTACCTGCCATAGAAGAACTGGCAGGCATATGCAGAACCACACTGGAAACCCTCCTATTACATTCAATTTTGGTGACATGACTCTTTCAGCAGAGAATTCTCTTTCATCTAGTATGTACTGAAATGAAGGGTCAGATGTGACATCTGCTGATGGTAGCTTTTAGTCACTTAATGAGAAGGATGAACACACTTGCTACAAATGTAATCTGAAGAAAGACTTGTTTTAAGGCAAACTATGATTGCATTTTGGATTGTACAGATAAAGCATACATTAACAATAATTGTTCTCTGCTATAAGGTGCTTTTGGAAAAGCTTTATTGTGTTGACGAAATACATGCTTTAAACATTTTATTGCATGTCAAAGATGTTTTATTAACACCAAAGGGAAAATTTCCAATATTACAGAGTAATTTCAGTATTGTTCTTATGCAGAGACTCATTTAAATGATAAAGAATATAAAACCCAGTTAAAGATAGGAGTGGGAGTTTTTTGAAACCTGTTGGAAAGTCTGATAGTGCAGATGTCAGTCCATCAATTTGTAAGTCTTCAGTTGTAATAGAACTATTTCCTTTCAAGATAAAGGTAGGAGATTTATTGTAAGTTTATGAAATGCTGAAAGGTCCCAAATCTATAGCCAATCCATTTTCCCATTCTTCAATCAAAAATAACTTACATGTTTAAAAACTAATTATTTTGCCTACGATAGTAAAATTGTTCATAAACTATCGATAATAATGATTTTAACATTGTTTTAATTGAATATTTAGACGGAGTTCAGCTTGTTAGTGACCTCCTTCATCCCGTCTTTAAATTTATGTAAAGACCAGTGAATGAATTAGTATTGAAAGATGAGATATGAGTAAAGAATTCTCTCTGTAATCTAAGTCATGGCGCAGTGTGTGCAAGGTTGGGTGATTTTTCTAATTTCCAAACATCTCTCTTGGTTCTCTAAGTACTTATTGATTCCTTCTCTAAGAATGATTATACTGAGAGAGTAAAGAACCTGTTCTCTTAAAGGGAACTCTGAAGTTCTAGGGCTGTAGGCTCCTGATGTTCACTACATGAGTTACCAAGCTAGCTAGCCTTTCTTAATTACTTTCCGTAAGCCCCTCTATACAATACTCCAAAATTCATGGCAATTTGAGCATTGTGAATGTGCTTAAAATGTCTATAGCCATCATCACCACTATCTTAATAGTTTGTTTCAAGAAATTTGCAGTGGGAACAAACCTCATGTGCATGTATACATAACCTTAATTTCAAATGAAGAAACCTGGATATTCTTTTTTTTTGGTCCGGTCGTGGGGCCTGAACTCTGGGCCTGGGCGCTGTCCCTCAGCTCTTCAGCTCAAGGCTAGCGCTCTACCACTTGAGCCACAGTGCCACTTCCGGCTTTTTTCTTTTTGCTTATGTGGTGCTGAGGAATCGAACCCAGGGCCTCAGGCATGCAAGGCAAGCACTCTATCACTGAGCCACCTTCCCAGCCCAACCTGGATATTCTTGTTGGGAAACAGAATCTTCGGGTTTAGTGTGCACAAGGTGCAAGAACTCTTTCAAAGAGAGTGTGACCTTGAAATCAGCATGGAAAGAAAGAGAAGGAAGCAATATTGAGCTGATGGAGAAAGGGAACTATTACAGCAATCTATTGAAGCAGACCTAATACCAGTCTTGGTCAACTTATGATGTACTCTGGATCTTCTATCACCATTTGGAGCTGTCTAGAATTGGGCCAAATGAATCAGGTTTTTATACACCCATCCTCATGAATCACTCACTAAATATGGGACCCTGGAAAAGTACGTGACCTTGGGAGAGGTGGCTCTCTGCAGTTGAAGCTGTACTCCAAAGTGGCTGACAGTTGAAGGCCATCATCTAGCACTCCAGCAACTGGGAGGAAATATATCCTTTATTCATGATTATTCATGAAGTAGAGCTGGTATGCAAATCACAACACTCCCTATGATTCCCCACTGAAAGTCTTAAAAAAATCAATTCATACTAAATGCTAAGAATTCAAGAAAAGGAGAAGGATTGAGGAAGATGAGCATGAAAAAGGTGTTTGACCTGACAAGACTTTCATATGAAGGGTTTGAAAGTGAGACTGGCTGAAAAATGAGGTGTCATGTTCTGATGAAAATACCCAGGAGAGGGGCTGGGAAGGTGGCTCAGTGGTAGAGCGCTTGCCTTGAGCTGAAGTGCTGAGGGACAGTGCTCAGGCCCAGAGTTCAGGCCCCAAGACCAGACCCCCCAAAAAAGAAAATACCCAGGAGAGGACAAAGGCAGTGGTAGGTGTTCAGGAGTAGAAAACTGTGATGGCAGAAAAGAGCAAGATGTGTACAGGGACAACAGAATTGCCTTCAGCAAGCTATTGAGAATTAGAAGAAACAGATGCCAGGAATGTGAGTAGAGAATCTTGATGCTCTTAATCAGCTTTGACTGAAGAAACAAGTTGCAAACATGGAAGGCTTAGAAGAAAACAATTCTTGCTGTTGTGTACAGATTAGCTTGGGGTGGGGGGCTAAAGAGATGGTATCTGTGAGGTTTGGACTGTGGTTCCCTCCAGAATGTCCCTTCACCTAGAGCCGGGACATAGGAGACACTAAGGAAAGAAAATAATCCTAACAATGAATGTCTCCTGTGTGCTCTATGTTACCGCACTTTGCCTCACCAGTCTTACAAATATATACTTTTTAGGAAAATACAATGTACTTGGAGCAAGCCCCCTAGAAAAGAATGAAGAAGTGTGTGTATGTGGGGGGTCTGCTAGTATTTAGCTCAAGTGATCACAGAGGGCTTTTCTGAGGAGGGCATGTTTAAATAGACCTGAAAAATGTTATCCATGTGGAATGGATGAGGAAAAGCATTTCAGATTTAAAAAGAACAGCATGTGGAAAGTCTCAGGCAAAAAACACATTACGCTTTACAATTATGTATATAATCCTCTTAAGCTATTAGGGGAATAAAACGAGGGCCTGCCAAGAGCTAGAAAGCACCATATTCTATGTTTGTCTTTATGACTGAAGAGGCCAGGCATAATCAAGGAAAGACGGGAGCAATTAGCTGCCTCTTCAAATTCTGAAAGGCACTGTGACAATCTGAAATTCTAGTTATTAAAAAAAGATTCCATTCAACTGAGCATGGTTGGGCTACATCTTTAAAAAAGGGAAGAAGAGATAAACTATTCTTGAATACAGAATAATGCAGTGTAAGAAAACATATGGAATTCAATTTCCTCAATAACATTTAAATTCTTCTTCCTGCAGGGTTATGAGCCGGATCCTAATATAACCAAGCTGGCAGAGCAGTACGCCAAGGAGGTATGTATGTTCCCTGTGTGGAAAGCTAGGCTTGTCTTTCTCTGTCTCATGAAACTGTTTAACCAGCATGCTTCTATATGCTAGAATGGTACCAAACTGTTGATGACAAATGATCCATTGGAAGCAGCGAATGGAGCCAATGTACTAATTACAGACACTTGGATAAGCATGGGACAAGAAGAAGAGAAGAAAAAGCGGCTCGAGGCTTTCCAAGGTTACCAGGTTACAATGAAGGTACAAATTGATACCTCTCTGAAGGTTCATTAATTCCATTTATAATGGCTAGAACCATCTAATCACTTATTCACTTTTAGGAAGGGCAGGCTGTCCTTTCATACTCTCAAAAGGACTCACTGTGTCTATCCTCCAGGGATTTCTCTCCTCTCAAAGATTTAGCTGTGTGCTTTTGGAAAGACACCTCTTGTGCTAGACAAAGGAATCTGAAACCTAGGCTGCAGAGTTTTCCCCCTCTCTCCACTGTAGAGGTATCAGAATGCTTTATTCTATGTATGCTTCAAGACATTAGCTTAGTTTTGTTCTTTTTTTTTTTTTAAATAAGTGCAGTTTCTTTTACTTCACTGGGAAAAATTCTATCAGACTAGTTCTTGCTTCTTCTGTTTCTTAAAGATTCCTCAGTGCAGGTGGTTTTGTCAACGACCTCCAGGACTTTTTTCCAGGGGACTCTCCAGCCCAGGCAGGAAACTCTGTGAGACTCTTTATCTCCAATAAACCAATAGAAAACTGGAAGTGCCACTGTGCTCAAGCAATAAAGCACTTGCCTTGAGCTGAAGAGTGCACAGACAGTGCCCAAGCCCAGAGTTCAAGCCCCATGACAGACAAAAAAAAAGTGTGACATGAAGTACTTAAGAAAAAAAAATATTACAAAATAAACAAGAAAAATTCCAAGTTTAAAAATTTCTGACTTAAAATAATAAAATTTACATTTCCTTCATTACTGATGAAGTTAAGCATCTTTTCATGCTTTCTGGTTATTTCTATTTCTTTTGCTTTGAACTAGATATCATATTTTTCCATTTGCTGTTTTTTACCCTTTTTTATTATTGGCTTGAAGTGCTCCTTATACATTATGGATAATTCTTTGTTATATACATTGCAAGTAGTTTCATAGAGATTTTAAATTGCTTATGGTTTATTTCATGCATACTTTGGGTGATTTTCTAGTGCTGAGCGTGTAGGCTTGAGAAACAGTCATTTTACTGATGCATGACAGGTACCAATGTTACTCCTTTTTCATGTCATTTTGCTGGTATTTTAGAAACTCCATTGTTCTGAACGTGGAACAAGGGTGGAAGTAAAACAAAATTTAAGTACAAAGGCAGTAATTTTGAGGTAGGCAAGTATAAAGAATTTAGCTTTGAATCTGTAAGTATATAGTGGAAATGGACAGGAAAATGTAACTTACAGGAATTAGATTTGCATTAAGATGAAATATTCAGGGCATTGTGCTCATAATTCTATTTAATGTATTTCTTTCATTCCTCTGTGCTTTTTTTCAAAATTGTTTTTATTTGTGACACAGTATGCTTCAATTGCCAAAAATGATCACTTGGAGAAAAGTTTAGATAATACTATTGTATTAAAGCAATTTTAAAATATGTTTCGAGGTATGATTGGTTACTTGCTATCAACCACATGTTACAGGATTGTAGTGTACTATCTAAGTAGGCAGAATATCAGAAAACTGAGCTAGTAGTTTAATTTGAAATGATGGTTTCCTTATGTTAAAAAGTAACTGGTTAGTGACTCATGCCTATAATCCTAGCTACTCTAGGAGGCTGATATCTGATAATCATCCTTTAAAGCTTGCCTGGACAGAAAAATCTAGGAGATTCATCTCAAATTAACCAGAAAAAAAAAGCCATAACTACAGGTGTGGTTCAAGCACTAGTGAGAACTAGCTCGTTTTCTGCCAACCGGTTAGGTTGTATAAAATTATTTTCTAATCTTTTTGAAAATATAAAAGCTCCTAATTCAGTGCACAGTATAAAATAAGCATTTAAAAAACCATCTTATTCTTTTTCTCCTCTCTGTCCTCCTTTCATTCCTTTCTTAATGACTTGTCAAGCTAAACGGGAAATGGCTGAGCACTAGTCCAAGGCTATGAGTTCAAGTTCCAGTACTGCCACAATAGATTTTTTAAAGTGACTTTGGAATTCCCCAAGTTGAAAGAACTGTATACATTTACCTTAGGTATCTTTAACTTTACTCCACCTCTTTATTCTTTGTATTGATCTGTGAATTATGGACATGTGTGTTTTGAAATATTGGCTGAAGAAGATGCATGACTGTTGCAGACAATTATTATCAAACACATGATTTTACCCTCTTTAGACTGCTAAAGTTGCTGCCCCTGACTGGACATTTTTACACTGCTTGCCCAGAAAGCCAGAAGAAGTAGATGACGAGGTGTTTTATTCTCCACGATCATTAGTGTTCCCAGAAGCAGAAAACAGAAAATGGACAATCATGGTAAGCAAGAAATGAGGGATAGAAAGATAAAGAATTTTCTGTGTGGTTCTGGCTTGGCCATGAGTGCTTCTTGTTAAATAATAAGCAACCAAGATTATCTAGCTATATTACTTATTTACGTGACTTCTATTTTTGTCCAGAAAGTTTATAATAGATCATTATTTCTCATTAGCATTTATAGTGCATTTTAATGGAATAAAATTGATCCCCTTCCAAATGCACAAACTTTAATCAAAATTCTTAATGCCCTTGATTGGCCTAAGAACTTGCTGCTATTTTCTGCTAGCCATTATAGGTTATGTGACTCTTATTTTCTAATCTGTTTGAAATTATAGAAGCTCCTACTTCAGTGTCCACAAAAATAAGCATTCAAAAGTCCTCCTTTCATTCTCTTTTTATGATTTGACCAGATAATTGTTTTAGCTCTGTATTCAAATTTGGTAAGAAAAATCCATTTGGTTTTAGGTATAAAATACTTTGAAAATTCATGAAATGTTTTATATTCAAAAGTTATTAGTCCCTTTCGGATAAATCCACTACTCATCTTTATCACTGCCATTCTGATTTTAAAATAATTTTTTAAGATTAAGTGATTACATAAATTTTACAGTATTGTGTGATAGTGATACTCTAAAGTCACAAACACATTTTAACCTTTACAAGGCAAAGTTTCATTATCATGGTCTATAATGTTTGTGACTTTTACAGGTTTGACAATGGAACTATTTCTTTCACACTAGGAGATATGTACATATCTAGGAAATACTTTTCTTAATTCTGTTTTATAATATTCCTCTGGAAGACTGAAAAATCACATGTCATAAATTAGCTCCATTATTTTTCAGATTTAAGTGATTTAACAGATCTCAGTTGACATACTAGGAAGCATCCTACTTGCAAACAACAGCGTCCATTCTACATGGATTAATGGATAGAAATTTATTAAAATACATTAATGAGTTCCCAGAGCTTTCAAGAAAAGGGGGTGGGTTTGTGAATCATTCTTAGACACTACACAGCCCTGCACAATATAGGCAGATATATGTTGTTTATAGCCAGAAAACCACTGGCATTTGCCACTCCCAGCTTGGTTTCTAAGGCCTTTGAAACCAGATGCTTAATTATAACTACCGTGTTTGTAACAGGATACTTCTACCTGCATATAGAGCAAGACATCTAGGGTCCCAGAGAATGGTTTCCACTGCATGCTCTCGTCATATATATCCATGTCTCATATGTATCACAGCTGAAATGTTTTCTTGGAAATATAGTTTTAGATCTTTTTTTTTTTTTTGCCGGTCCTGGGGCTTGAACTCAACGGCTCTACCACTTGAGCCACAGTGCCACTTCTGGCTTTTGTGAGTAGTTTATTGTAGAGTTTCATGGACTTTACTACCTGGGCTGTCTTTGAATCATGATCTCCCGATCTCAGCCTACTCAGTAGCTAGAAGTATTTAGCTTTTAAACTCTGGAAAGGACTGGTAGCTAATTACTTTTCAGTCTATAAATATAGATGTTATTGTGTGGAGCTGGGAAGGTGGCTCAGTGGTAGAGTGTGTGTCTTGCATGCATGAGGGTCTCGTTTTGATTCCTCAGCACCACATAAGCAGAAAAAGCTAGAAGTGGGGCTGAGGCTCAAGTGGTAGAGCGCTGGTCTACAGCTAAAGAGCTGGGGGACAGCGCCCAGGCCCAGAGTTCAGGCTGCACAACCTACAAAAAAAAGTTATTGTGGACATTAAGTAATAAATGTAAATATCTTTAGTACAGTGCCTAATACATTATAAATGGTATCATAATTATCATAAGCAGTTTCTTCATTGTTGATCTGATATTATGAACTGCAAATGTTCAAATACCATTGTATCTCCTGGAAAGCAAGTCACTACTGTCTTTTGTAGTATCATGCCTCAGTTTGTCAAAGCAAGGATTTTTTTTTTTGCTGGTCCTAGGGCTTAAACTCAAGGCCTGGGCACTGCCCCTGAGCCTCTCTGCTCAAGGGTAGTGCTCTACCACATGAGCCACCGCACCACTTCCGGCCTTTCCTGTTTATGTGGTTCTGACAACTCCAACCCAAGGCTTTACGCATGCTAGGCAAGCACTCTAACACCAAGCCACATTTCCAGCTCAAGGATTTTTATTTTGGTTGGTCATGGGGATTGAGCTTTGGGCATGGGCGCTCTCCCTGAACTCTTCAGCTCAAGGCTAGTGCTCTACCACTTGACCCACATCACCACTTCTGGTTTTCTGGTTATTAATTGGAGATAACAGTTTCTTGGACTTCCCTGCCCAGGCTGGCTTTGAACTGTGATCTCAGCCTCCTGCATAGTTAAGATTACAAACGTGAGCCACCACCAGCCCAGTGATTTTTTTTTTTTTAAGCTGCATCTTTGGCTACCTCTACACACTGACTAAAATAGCAATTGTCCTGTCACTTAGACCATGTTTCTGAAGCCTCAGAGTGCATTTAAATCGCATAGGTAAGTATGTACGTGCAGATTCAGATTTAATAGACATCAGATGAGGTGCTAGATTCACTATTTCTAATAAGCACTCAGGTAATTCAGTGTCCCGTGGACCACATTTTGAATAACAAAAGCCTAGATGACAAAAATGAATATAGTATTTTCTTCCACTTCGAGAAGCTCCACTTGTCATCAGAAGGCAATATATGGTGCAAAGATAAATCAACCTAACCTGTTAAAATAGATTGTAGAAATTCAGGGGAAATTTTTTCCTTACCATCTCAGTTATGGAGATGCTTTACACTGCCAAATTTTTAGAGCTTGTTACACATCTTTACTTAAAAATTTAGACACCTAATACATTAACATGATTGAAATGTTTAACAGGACATACCCATTTTCATCCACTTCTCTATTCCCTGTTCTTCTGAGATGCCCACCATTATTCCAAGAGCCTGTGCCTGGCTTTCCTAAAAAAATTTTTTGGAATAATGGTAAGCATTAAGAGGGATGAAGAGCTGGGTAGTTTGGTAATTTGCAGCAGCCATACTGTACTAGCATCTACTCTGTTCAAGGTCTTTTATGCATTATACATCTTTAAAAAGCAGAAATCATAATTTTTAAATAAGTTTTTTATTGTGAAAATACTGTACAGAGGGGTTACAGTTTCATGAGCAAGATAATGAGTACATCTCTTATCAAGCATTCTTGCCTCCTCCTTTTGTTTTTCCGCTACCATCCCTTCCCTCCCATCTACACAACTACACTCCTCCCCACTGAAACAATAATTGTATGCAATCTCGTCATACTATGCAATCCAGAATTGCATAAAATTTTCAAGCAGGATGAAATCTTAAGATTATCTAGACTGAATTTTTCTTCTGTAGGCAAAGCTTATTTAGAATGGCTTTTAGGCTCAATTCTGCTGTGGCAGATTTTTCTGTTCAGGGATAATTCTTATTTATCTTTATGACTACTCTATCAAACACAAAGCTGCTAGGCATATATGGATATTTAAATTTAAATTCAATACTACCCAGTCAATTCCTAAGTCATATAACCACACAATCCATATTAATTGCTCAATACTAGTGGCTACCATAATAAAAAGCAGAGATAGAACATTTTCTTCACTGTATATAGTTCAATTAGAAACACTACAATTAGATAATGACTTTTTTCCCCCACACTCATCATTGAAAATTGGGATGGAAGAAGAAAGGAAAAATACAATCTGGCATCCATATCTGAGATACCTACAAAAACTGATGTAAGGTATTTAACTGGAAGAACATATTCCTAAAGTATAGAACAGCTTGAAAGCCAAAGTTTATAATTTCAGTAACCAGAGTAATTTTGTTAAGGTCTCCATGCCGACTAATTTCCCAATGCTCTGTTTGAGCACTCTATTGATCACATCATTCTGTCAGCAACACGGGCCTTTGGATTCCTTTGTGTAAAAGTAAAAACAAAACACGCTTTGCTCTCCACAAAACTTGAAATTTTTGTTTTTCACTAGCAGGTTTCTTCTACAGCCTGCTCAGTGTCACTGTGAAGTGAATGTGTCCCAAGGGCATTCAGGAACTATAATAACACCTCAAAATACTGCTATCTGGGTGACCCTTGAGTGCATATCACAGCTGTGAATGCAACTCATAGTTCCATAATATTTTACTTTTCTCTAAGCTAAGGTTTCTAGATGGAAATACAGGCTATCCAATTAAATTCAGTAAACAAGGAATACATTTTAGTATAAGCATGTCAGATACAGTGCTTAACACATTTGCAGTTAAAAACTGTGTTTATCTGGAATCCCTGCCAATGTGTATTTATTTTTTAATTTAGTCTGACAATTCTGCCTACTTCTATTTTTTTTTTTGACTTGAAAACTGAACAACAAACCAAAACCTAAGGTTTACTCCCAAGAATCCATGAAAAAACTTAAAAATTTTTGCCTAAACCGGGCACCGGTGACTTAAACCTGTAATCCTAGCTCAGGAGACTGAGATCTAAGGATCGAGGTTCAAAGCCAGCCTGAGCAGGAATCTGTGAGACTCTTATCTCCAATTAAGCAGAAGAAATGGGGAAGTGCTACCGAGATCTGAGGTTCATGGTTCAAAGCCAGCCCAGGTAGGAAAGTTTGTGAGACTCTTATCTCTAATAAACCACCAGAAAACCAGAAGTGGCACTGTGGCTGAAGTGGTAGAGCAATAGCCATGAGCTCAGGGACATGGCTCAGGCCCAGAGTTCAAGCCTCATGGACGACAAAAAAGCCTGGAGTAAAAGTTGTTATTGGTGGGTGGCCTAGAGGAACTATGGTTTTAGCTATAGAGTTAATTAATACCCTTTTTAAGAGGACAAATACTCAGCAAAAGTTCTGATTAGTACCACTAGTTTCTTATTACTTTGCATAGATTTATCCTGAGCATTTTTAGGTTGCAAAGTGACTAAACCACAGTATAAACATGAGGAACTGGAAGAGGAGGGATTATATTTCTCTTAAGAACAGCCAATACTTGGGTCCCAAATTATAACTATAGAAACTCCAAGCACAGCAATTACTATAATATCACATGGTATCAACTCCCTGGCCTGGAATGAGGCCTAAGTAAGCATGATGTTTGCCTGTTTATTTAGATCAGCATACTCCCTCAGGCTCTTTTTTTGTCTGTCATGAGGCTTCAACTCTGGGCCTGGGCAATGTCCCTTATCTCTTCAGCTCATGGCTATTGCTCTACCACTTTAAAGAAAAAGAGCCTGAGCCAGGCACATGCCTGTAATCCTAGCTACTCAGGAGGCTGAGATTTGTAAAGCATTTTACAGCAGACAAACTGGGAAGACATGGCTAAGGAGTGGTCATTTATGGCAAGCTCTGAACAACAAGAAGGGTCTCAGAAGGCCAAACTTGGGGCCTGAACTCTGGGCCTGGGCACTGTCCCTCAGCTCTTCAGCTCAAGGCTAGCGCTCTACCACTTGAGCCACAGCATCACTTCTGCTTTTTTCTTTTTGCTTATGTGGTGCTGAGGAATAGAACCCAGAGACTCATGCATGCAAGGCAAGTGCTCTACCACTGAGCCACCTTCCCAACCCCTTAGAAAGCCAAACTCTTAAGATTAGAAACATTTACCAGGCAAAGTTTTTGTTGTTGTTGTTCTCTTTTGTTTGCCAGTCATGGGGCTTGAACTCTGGGCCTGAGTGCTGTCCCTCAGCTCTTCAGCTCAAGGGAAGTGCTTTACCACTTGAGCCTCAGCCTCCTGAGTAGCTAAGATTACAGGCATGTGCCTGGCTCAGGCTCTTTCCTTTTCTTTATCCATATAAAAATAAAAGTCAATTAGGACTGCCCCTCATCTTTTCCTTGAGAAAACACATTTTAACTAAAACCTGCCCTTCTCCTTCCTTAAATCCCAATGATGATTAAATGCTAATACTTCTTTGTTTCTTTCTCTTTCTTTGGTGTGTCATCTCAGGCTGTCATGGTGTCTCTGCTGACAGATTACTCACCTACTATCCAGAAGCCAAAGTTTTGATGCTATGATGTTCATCGAGAGAAAACAATGTTCTTCAGTATCACAATGAATCAAGTTTATGGGAAAAGAGAATTTCCTCTCTGAATAAATCTCTAATATATTCTATGGGTTGCTGTGTGCTATTGATTTGTCATTATCAGACCTTGACACCTACTGAAGAGCCAAAGGGCCATAAGAGACTGACTAGTTTTAAACACTCTAATTCACAATTTCAAAGTGACATTTGTTTATCATATGCATTTGCTTCAGCTATACATATAATACTGTGTGCATAATGTAGAGGTCATTAAATTAAGCTATACTTTTTGCCTTAAAATTGATCACCCATGCTGATTTATATGTAAACATTTACCAATTAGTCAACTGTTGGTAAATCTGTGTGGCCTCTGTTCATATCCCCTTGGGACCAACAAGGAAACCAAATTTTAATCCTGAAGATGTGCTGCAGTTTTCAGGTCAATGAAGGAAGATGGTTACTAATAGAGACTTCTCATGAAATTCTTAGAAGAAAATTGCTCTCACTTTGCCTTCCCAGGCTGTTTTTTTTTCCCCAATTATTTCTGGAAAAGCATGGAGTTGTTCATGAGCATGCATGTCTTCTCTGTAGTGAATACTTAATTTCTTTTAAGCAAAAAGAAGTCCGCTAGCAAGCGGTAAAGCCCCTCCTACCAGGATAAGACTCATAGGAGTGACACCTTACTTTAGATCTTTCCAGCTGCAACTATTTATTTACATCTGTGGTTTAACATGCATTTGCTCATACCATGCATTGAATATTTCCATAAAGCTACTACTTGCCAAATATGAGCCAGTCATTTTCTACAGTTTTCCTTCAGATTAATCAAAATATACATTGTTGAATTTTAGTGTAATTAATAGCAGATTCCTCTTGCAAATGATCACAATTTTTACTGTTCAAATTATTATAAGTTGAAATGTTTTACTAAGTGTTAAATAAAATTCATGGAACTTTTTTTAGACAAGGTCTTAAGTACATAGCCCAACCTTGACCTAGAACTTATGAATTCATGCCTCAACCTCCTGAGTACTGTATTTCAAGTATTTACAACATCTGTGCTAGAAATTTGTAAAAATATATTCTACAGAGAGCAAGATAATGCAGTTTCCGTCATGTTCCACTTCTGCTATTGGAAGAATGTTTCTAGGCAAGTTGACTGAAATCTTCAGTATATAACTATGACTTCATTAAAGATATAAATTACAAATTATTTTTTTTTGGGTCCGGTCATGGGGCCTGAACTCTGGCCTGGACGCTGTCCTTCGGCTCTTCAGCTCAAGGCTAGCGCTCTACCACTTGAGCCACAGCGCCACTTCCGGCTTTTTCTGCTTATGTGGTGCTGAGGAATTGAACCCTGGGCCTCAGGCATGCAAGGCAAGCGCTCTACCACTGAGCCACCTTCCCAGTCCCATAAATTACAAATTATATTTGTAATAAACAGAATAAAACATAGTTTGTGAGGGGGGCAGCTTATAAACTCCCAGTATGCTTAGCTATTCAGGAAGCTGATGTCTGAGAATCATGGTCCAAAGCGAGTTGTCTTGGCAGGACAGTCAGAGAGTTTTTGTGATGGTTGGCTCATAGTGAGCAAAAGAGCTCAGGGACAGCATTCAGGCTCAAGCCCCATGGTCTACAAAGAAAGAGAGAGGAGACTAGGAATGTGGTTTAGTGGTATAGTTTTCCTAGCTCAGTTCAAGCCCCAGGACTGGTAACTAAAGGAAGGAAGTAAAGAGGAGTGGAATTTGGTGAATCACGATTTCTTTCTGTGTGTGGGGGGGGTGGGGGGGTGGAAGTTGTGTTGGTTGTGGGGGTTGAACTCTGATCCTGGGCACTGTCCCTGAGCTCTTCAGCTCAAGGCTAGTGCTATTCCACTTGAGCCACAGTGCCACTTCCTGCCTTTTCTATTGATGTTCTGATGAATTGAACCCAGGGCCTCATGCATGTGACTCAAGCACTCTACCACTCAGCCACCTTCCCAGTCTTCAGAAACAGCTCCTTTTAGCAAAGAATATGAGAATTTATTCAGAAAATATAATGGATGCTCACCTTCAAACTACACATGCAGAAATGAGTATCCTTCAATATGCCAAATGGTTTCCAATGGCAACAGTTACTTTTCCTGGTTAGTCTTTGAGCAAAATGTGTGGTCTAAGTTTTTTAATCAAAGAATTTCCAACCATTTTCTTTATAAAATTGTCATTTTTTTCCTTAAAAATCTTCAAGCTTTCATACACACACACACACACAATTTTACATCCTTTTAAAACCAAACTGGTAGGAATTTATTCACTTTTAAAACCTTTGTAGAACTCAGGACCTTGTTTTTGCTAGGTAGTAGCTGAACCAGCCCTTTTTTGAGCTGGTTATTTTTTTTTTTCTTTATTTTTGTCGGTCGTGCAGCTTGAACTCTGGGCTTGGGCACTGTCCCTCAGCTCTTCAGCTCAAGGCGAGCACTCTAATGCTTGAGCCACAGCACCACTTCCGGTTTTCTAGTGGTTTATTGGAGATAAGAGTCTTGCGGACTTTCCTGCCCGCCTTAGGTTTGAACTGTGATCCTCAGATCTCAGCCTTTGGAGTAGCTAGGATTATAGGTGGGAGCCACTGGCGCTTGGCCAGAGCTGGTTATTTTTAAGGTAAGGCCTAGCTTCATGACTAGGCACATGTATAGACTACAGTCTACCTAACTTAGGCTTCCCATCATGGATAGGATGTGATAGGGGTACATCTTCATGCCTGAGTTGAAGAGCTCTTATCAAATGTATGCCTGGTCAAGCCTTGAAGCGTGATCTTTCCAAGTAACTAGGAATATAGGCATAAGCAACCAAGACCTTGCCCTTACTCCTTTTTCTTTGTAATTACTGCAACTCCAAATATGAACAAAAACCCTAGCAATAGGTGGAATATTTTATATTTCTATGTTTTATAATAATAGATATTTTGCTAATGATTTGACTATTAAGTCCCTGGGTGAAAAGATCTGCAAGGAAGATGAGAAAGGCAATGCCACATTTAACTTTCAACCTACCTCTTGAACCTTACTTAAAATGGCAGAGCTCTCTTAGTCTAATGCCAAACTTCCAGAGGAAGTCTTCTCATGTAATAAAAATGAGTGACAAATAAAGTGGTAAATAAATGCATGTGGAGAGGGTATTCAGAAGGTATTCAGAATAAATTCCTTTGAGGTCTTTTTATCTTGGAAGCTCTCATTGATGAATTAAATGAAGATGGTTTAGCCACATCTTAACCATCTGAGCCATGATGCCACTGAACAGACTCAGTACTGGTGGTTTTGTTTTTTGTTTTTTTGACAAATATAAAGGGTCAGACTGAGTAATAGAAGATTGGTTAAGTCATTATGATCAACCTCCTACAACAAGGAATACCATATACTACCAGATAAGTTGAGCCCTATGCAAAGGGAACAGGTGAGAGAGGTGAGTAAAGGTGAAACCTGGTTTGAACTTTGGTTACCAGCCCTTGTGTCTCCTTCCAGCCAGGAGAAAAGAGTACATTTTTGTAAGTTGACTACTCAGAGGAACACCTTCACTATTTCATAAGCCTGGATAAATGCTTTGTTTTAAATCACACAAAAGGTAGTATCAGGAAGATAGCCTTGAGTTCAACAATTTACATGAGATTTTTTTGTACTTGAGGGCAATGAAATAATGCAGTCACAGTTTTGTTTGCTCCGTTGTTTAAGCCCAAATGGAAGTGATCATGACTATCCATCTTTGTGTGCTTGGTATATGACACAGATCATTGAAACAGATTGGAGAATCAACTCTGCAATTATGTAATATTTTAAAGAAATTCATATGTATATGTAATATATACACTTATCTATTGTCCGTTGTGGGGCTTGAACTCTGGGTCTGAGCACTGTCCCTCAGCTCTTCAGCTCAAGGCTAGTGCTCACCACTTGAGCCACAGCGCCGCTTCTGGTTTTCTGTGTTTTATTGGAGATAAGAGCTTCATGGACTTTCCTGTCAGGGTTGGCTTTAAACTGATCCTCAGATCTCAGCCTCTTGAGTAGCTAGGATTACAGGCGTGTGCCACCAGTGCCCAGCTTTTAAAAGTATTTTACAAATAATATCATGGTCACATTATATAGAAGTGAATTCTCTGACATGGGCTAAAACAGTCTTATTGATTACTTATGTTTCTAATCAATGCCTTTGTGAAGCTCATCTTAGAGAAAGTTAAGCACAATTGTCTTCTGGAATAAAATCATTAGGCAAATGGATTTTTAAAACTGGAATGAGGTTTAAAAATAATCCATTCTATTCCTTCATTGTACAAAAGTAATAACTAGGAAATAACAGTGTTCCAAAGATAGAAATATATCCAATAGAGAGAATTCATGAGTTTAACATCCCATTGAAAACTATTTGGGATATTACAAATATAGACACTTAATTTGACTTGCCTATAGTTGCAGAAGAGAATTGGAAGCTAGCTGATGCAGGACTATGGTTCTGTGATGGCAGATAGAGGTTTTACATCTGAGCCAGAAGTATGAACACAGACCCAAGTAATTCATATCGATATTTAGAGGTGTTGCATCCAGATCCCTTTTTCTTGGATTCATCCAATGGCTCACAGCAGCCTTTCTCTGAAGTGTTTCTTTCAGTTACCAGAAACCAGTTTTACCCTGGGAGATCAGACACCTATCCCACCCTGCTACCAACAGCCTGCAATCAATAGATGACCAATATAGGGATACCACATCTTAGCTTTCTTAATTCTGTGGTGATATTTATGCTCCAAAGTTCTTTGTGGGTGGTACCAAGCGGAACCTAGTACCCTTGCTTAGCTCTGACCTGCTTTACTTCTGAGATCAGTTCTTCCATAAATCACTTGCACATGAATCCTCATTTCAGGCTCTGCTTGTACAGAATCTGATCTGAAATAACCCATAAATGAGATTTGGGAGGGTGGAGGTGTCTATTATCTTTTTCTTATGCCATTAGTGGGGCTTGAAATT